ACCGTCGACGGAAGATAACTCCAGCTTATTGAACTCAACAATATTTTCCTTAATTTCTAACTCCAGCCAGCCAAAAACATTAAGGTTCCAGGTTCTAATATCTGATTTCAGGGCTTGAAATTTCTTGGAAAGGATGTTGCAGAATGATCCTGAAACATGATAGGAGTTTCACGATTTCGACACAAAAGGGATGAATTCCTTATGATCAAACCAGCAGTTGAAACACCTAAAATGCTTAGGCCCCCAATTAACAAAGTTGCACTTTAACCACACCGGTCGATGATCCGATATGTCACGATCCCCCACCACTTGGTTCTTCAACGAAAACAGAGATATAACCCGATTATCCACCAAAATTCTATCAAGTCTACTTATGCTCTTACCATTAGAGTTGAACCAGGTAAATCGGCTACCAAAAACCGGAAAGTCCGAAACATTAAACTCTTCAATGAAGTCATTAAACTCCTTCATATCCCTATTGTTATTACCGCTGAGACCTTGTCTCTCCTCCCCGTTTTTCACCGAGTTGAAATCACCCCCCAAAATCCAGCCTACATCATTGAAATTTCTTTTAATATTGATCAAGTCTCTCCACAGCCTCCTCTTGTCTGCTGGATTACACGGAGCGTACACGTTAATAACGACCAGATTGTGATTATTCCAAACTAAATGCAGGCCAAGAAAGCCTTTCCCACTGAAGCTTGAGACAGCTGAAATTCTGGTAGTGTTCCACATAGAGAGGATGCCACCTGAATTGCCTACTGAGTTCTGAGCAGACCAGTTCTTGTCAACAGTACTCCACATGCTGTTAACAAAGCCAACTTCCATCTTATTACACTTAGTTTCATGAATCATGCAGATATCAACTTTGCCTCTCATGAGAACTTGGGATATTCTCCTTCTCTTTACGGAACTACAACATCCTCTTGCGTTGAAGGTAACAATATTCATGGATCACCTCTAGCTACAACCTTCTTATTAAGAACAACCTCTTGATCTTCCATATCCAGCTTCCTCAAGATAAGCCCAAAGTTCTCTTCGTCTTCGCATTGAAAGCCCAAAGCGTTAATGTAATTGCCCAGAGTAGATGGTATTTCTTCAATAGCTTTCCTGCATCTCGAATTGCCTCTTTCCACGTCGGTGTCCGTAATCGATTCACAGCATAATAAACTGGATCCTGGACAATCTCTGGCCAGCTTGCCCTTCTTTTTTTCCTTCTTATCCTTAATCTTCGGTTCAGGTCGAGAGATGTCCGTAGGAGCAGAGTGGAGCAGAGTTGAGAAATACGAGTGGGTGTAGGGAATCTTAATGCTGTTATAAACCTCATGGAGTAATTTTTTCTTTTTAACTTTCCCTTTAGAAGCAGGCCCAGAACCTCCACCAGGTAGCCCACAAAAAGGAGGATGCAAGCCCGAATCAACCTCCAAATCCCCATTGCAATCTACCTCTGCTACTTTAGAATTACAAGAATCCGAAGCATCCTCAACTGGAACGGGTAGAGTTCCACTAGAAATAACCAGACCTGCAGGATTCACGAAGGAAACCTCTCTATTCCCTACACCTTCTACAACAAGGTCTGTGCTTTCCTTAACAACAGATACACTATCTGAAACAGACAAATTAAAATCAACCTTTAGAGCTTCAGGGTGAGGAGTTCTGACTTCTGTCTAGGGAACATAAGGAATGTTATCTACGCTCTCTTCCTCCTCGTGAAACTCCCAATCAGCATTGAGTTCAGATGGAGTTGTGGATTCTATTTCATCCGAGTCTATCAACTCATCAACTTCACCAGATAGGGGATCTCCTAATCCAGACGAGAATTCTTCAGAAATAGAGACGAAGAAGGAATGATTACTAACGATAATATCAACCTTAAAATTCAGAATAGCCCTAAGACTTGTTTTAATCAGAATTCTAGCTATATCCATGCTCTCTTTGTTCCACGTCTTCTCGTCACATTTGACATAAGAGCCCAGTTTAGAGGATATCAGTCTGAAATTATTAGGCAACACAGGGTAAACCAAAGCACCTAATCCACACTAATCTGTCTCTGTCTATATCCTCCAAATTCCAAGTACGAATGTCTTTGAACCAGATATCCAGCCAATCACTAGCTTCTTTGATGAAAATCTCCAAGTCACCTCCAGAGGTATCTTCTAACAGACACAAAGAAACTCCCAAAGGGGTAGCCTTAATACTAAAAAAACCTTCTTTGTACAAAAGCTTATGAATATGGAAAGCATTTCCATCTTCCTGAACAATTCCCACTCTCATAAAGATTCAGTCTCCTTAGCCACTCATCTTCCACCTCTAGAATTGTGGGTTGAGCAACTCCCTTTGCAGCAACCTCTGCATTAGGATAATCTCCTTTTACCACTCTGGCAAAGGACCTAAGCATTTTGACAGGTTTCTTAAGAATCCCATGTTGAACATGTTGAGTTTTCCTCCTCAGGACTTCGCTGCCAGGATTAATCCTCTTGTTCTCCTTACTAAACCTGGGGATATTCACAAAGATCTTCTTGCCTTCCAGTACAATGCTATCAAGGTTACATGCCAGAATACGAGGGTCATGTACCTTTCGAAATTTTGCGAAACCGAATCTGTTTCCTCGCTTATCCCTCTTAGCGGAGATGAAAACTTCTGAGATTACTCCGTAGACCTTGAAGACCTCAAACAGATCTTTAGCATTCAAATTTTCTGGGAGTGCAATAACAAAGAAGGAAGTCGTATTATCACCATTAATATCTCCCTTACCTCTATTCTCCTTCCAAATAGAGAAACCACCATGAAATCCTTTCCTAGCATTCCTAGCGACCTTCTCCCAGACCATGATAGGACCGCAGTTCAATCTAAGAAAATCAGGTGGTTACCAAGGCCCCTAAACTCGAAAGCTAGGAATTTAAGCCGAAGATAACCTCCTAACCTTCGAAGGACCGAAACAAGCAGCTACAAATCTGGATAAAAACAAGGAACGACGGATGGATTTAGGAGAAGAATTATGAAATTGGGGTTAGGGTTAGGGATTGGGGTAAAGGCAAAGACTATTCTTCAGCCACTACTACTATGCCACCATCATCAGTTACAATGAAACAAAATGAGACACAACAACTTCCAATTACTTCATCTGATCATGTCTACCCGACACCAACTAATTATGAAATAAAAGTGTGTTGATGTTGCCTTAACTATATATGAATAGGCAATAGCTATCTATATTATTTCATGCTAGTGTTAATAGATATCCATAAAAGATTATACCAACAAAGATTGAATTGTGAATATAGTCAATAATATAGTTCCAACAATAAACGAGGATATATCACTAGAATTTTGTCCAACTCCCAATACAATAGAAATATGGTTCTTGATCTATATTCACGAGTTTTAGCCTTTTATATAAAATAATTACAATCAGGATTATTTTACTAAGACTTACACAATGAAGGATTGAATAAATGATCTATTATGTAGAAACTTTTCTAAAACAACATTCCAATGTTTTTCACCAGTAGTGTTATTTTTATATATATACTATGCAAAATATTGAGGTGAAGTTTAGTGATGAAGATAAGTTTGTATTCTTGATGGTCTCATTTCCCGTATATTTAAAACCTTTCAAGGTTCTCTTTATTTTTGGTAAGGAATACTCTATTATGTTGGAGGAGGTCCAATCATCTATAAGAACCAAAAAGTTAACTAAGATGAAAGTTTTGAAAAGTTGACGATAGTGGTGAAGTCTTAAATGTTTCAAGAGGAGTGAGCAAGAGTAAAGGATTCTTAAGGTATAGGTCATCTATTAAAGTGACCCACCGTGAGCGTCAAAGTTTTAAATTGTAGTTATTGGATGATCACCTGAGCAGTTGACGTAATCTTTACATCATTGGTCATAATGTTTTAGTATGATGTGCCAATTTTCTCACATGCTTCTTTTCTTTCAAATTTTATTTATGAGTATTGATATATATCAAATTAAGAGTGTTTTTTAATGACAATGTGAAAAAATGGAGCACTGGTCAAAATTATTTATTAGTTGGTTTTCATGCATAAAGTAATTGATTATTCATATACATTTATCTTCAATTTATTACTTTAGAATGATATTTACGCGTGCTTCTTTTAAGCATAAATTATTTTTAAAAATTAGAGAGTTACATAAAATTAACAAATTACTTTACATTATGAAAATATATTTAAAAATTTAAGGGTATTTTTAAAACACTCACGTGCCAAACATTTTTATTCTGATAATCACATGAGCATGTGATTTCTAATTGAACTTATTGGACTACTGACTAGAGCAGATGTTGTGATCTTTACATCACTGGTCGGGATGTGTTTGTATGATATGGCAATTTTCTCACATGCTTCTTTTCTTCCTAATTTTATTTATGGGGGATTGTATTTGTAAGAAACTATAGATATCAAATTAAGAGTGTGTTTCAAAGACAATGTGAAAAAAAGGAGCACCACATAAATTTGTTTATTAATTGGTTTTTATGCATAAAATAATCGATTATTCGTATATTTATGTTATAACTATAGAATGAAATTTACGCGCACTTCTTCTAAGTATAAATTATGTTTAAATATAAGAGAGTTTCATAAAATTAACAAATTACTTAACATAATGAAAATATATTTAAAATTTTCAGGTTGTTTTTAAAACACTCATATGCCATTTTGATGATCAAATTAAACATGATAAAATAGTTATAATTAAATATATGATCCATCAAATATCTATAGTAGCATAGAGGGTTAGTAGCATAAAATAGTATTATGTAAGAAAAACATAGCAACTGAGACGAGATACAAAATTTATTCTTGGTTTATTTATTCATAAGAGAAAAGCTGAGCTCTAGTTATAGTTACAAGAGAATGATATTTCATTGTTTGCTCACTATGAGCTATAGTTCTTTATAGCACGCTTACATAATATTTTATCACATATTTAAACCATCCAAAATTGAGGATAGGTGATCCCTTATTTGATGGTTTATTTACTCTCTTTGTAGAGGCTGAGCATTTGCAAAGTAAGATTGTCTTTGATTCTTTAGGAGCTTGTCAACTTCACGAGAAGATCCGGGAAATACAAGTTCTTTCACTGGTCTCTGTATTTGACTTATGACATTGTCCTCCTCGCCTTCAAATTTTCAATCACCCCAAAAGTTATAACTTAATTAATTTACTTCCTCATTTATTCAAATAGAAGAAAACATATTCTCACACACATAAAAAAATAATATTTCTCCTAAATTATTACTTTTTATGAAAATATTTGTGTTCCTATTTCCATTTTTGAGTTTAAATATTATATTATTTTTATCAATTAATAAAAATAAATTCTATAAAATGAAATAGATGATCAAGTGTAAGAACATAATTACAATTTTTTACAAAGAGATTAAAAAATAACATAGTATACCTGCAAGGAAGTTTCTCTGGTTGTTCTCGGCATTGATACCAAATCCAATCAGATTGAGATTTGAGGAGGCATTTATGGCAACTGGATGACCTGCTGGAATCACAAAAACATCACCTGGAGACAACTTAGCTCTATACCTTTGCACTTGTTTGCTTGTCTCTTCTTCTTGTTCCTCTTCCTCGTCACTTTCTTCTCTCTGGTTCTCATTTCTTATTCCCAATAGTTCAAAATCTCCTTTTCCTTCATTAACAGTTACTATCACAATTGCCTTTGAATTGTAGTTTGGCAACAATAAAGATCCCTAAAATTAAATTTGAATAAAACAATTTAGCTACAGCTCTGAGTTCTCTAAATAGAACATGATATTAAATATACTAATTTGTTGTAGATGAGATGTCTACTCAGTGATATGAATTTCTTCTTATAATTTAAAGAAACAAAATTCAACTCTCTTAAAATAATGTTAAAATGATTATAAGTATTTTTTTAATTAATAATAATAATATATAATTTATTGTCTAGTTTATTTGCATATGTTTTAAAATAATTTTATTATACCTCCTTGATCTCCACAGAATTGACAAATATGTCCAAGTCTTGAAGTTGTTGATTTTTTTCTGGGGTGATCTCAAAGAATTTGCCAAACTTATTGGAATAGATAGGATTGCGACTTCTCAAGTTGAATGGTTCAGATTCCGATGATACACTCTTTTTGGAGCTGGACTTTGCATTTTTGCTCAGTTCCTCAATTTGTTCCCTTGATACTTTGACTATTACATTTTCTTCGTTGATCTCTTGTCTCCTATCCTTAAGGCTTCTTCTGTGTTGTGGCTCTTGTTCTTGTTGTTCTAAAAGAACCTTTTCTATCTCCTCGTAATTGGTCTTTATTTTGAACAATATATAAAAGGGAAAAGTGAATATTTACAGAAAGTAAACCATACTAGTACATGAAAAACGATTAAAGGATGTGTGTTGCATGCTTACATTGAAAGCGGCCTCTAGAACTTTCTTGCTGAACCCGGATAATAATGATGGTTGATTTTGAGTTCCAGATAATAAGAAAGGCTGTAAAAAATTACAAATAAACAACGGTAAGAGTGGAAAAACTTTACAATAGAATGTGGAAAAATGGATTCGTAACTGTTGTTGTGATACTATTGTAGATCCCTCTAAAACTATTTCATGTGGTTGCATGCAAACAATGTGTAATATGACGAAGAAAAAAAGGTAAGCTCCGATTTTATTACCTGCAATTGACCTGGTTTGTTTACTGGGATGGCGAGATCTAATACTCTAAGATCCTCGTTGTCATCTCGATTAGCTAAATAAGCAATAGTTCCAGCAGGGATTTTGATGGTATCACCACGTTCAAGACTGAAGGAGTTTCGATCATTAGAGTTTAACACTGTGAGAATGGCTTTCCCTACATATTGCATTAAGATTAGAATTTTATTTTCAACTTAATTTATCTTCACAAAAAATAAATTTATAAAGTACGAAAAATCATTACCAGTAAAGAAAAGTAATTTGAAATCTATAAATTAATATGTAATTCATTACCACTAAGGACTACAAGGATAAAGTCAGCATCGGTGTATTGTGGAAGAAAAAGGGTGTGAGGTTTGGATTTATATTCTAAAAGACGGTAATTTTGAAGATTTTCAAATCTTTTAGAACGTGTGTCAAATTTTTGGAGGAGACGAATGTGACCGTTTTCATTCTCGTAAAGAGTTTGAAATCGGTTAGACTTAAAGATAAAGGGGTTCTCTTGGTCGGACCTAGAAGAGACACAAACTGAGGCAAGGAAAGCAATTGCCAACAACATTAACAGTTTGATTGTAGTAGCAGCCATATTGATTTGGATTAATGTGTTACTTTGCTTGCTAGGGATGAAGAGATGATGGAGTACACAAAAATGAGAGAATATTTATAACAAATGAATGAAAGCTATAAGATTAACATGCACCAACATTTGGCCATAGTTTGCCATGCAAGTTGACTAGTGTTGAAATAAACAAAATTGAGGTGGCTAATTAAAATGAAAAGAACCGTATATGGTACTGAGCATGGGTGGTGGATTTTGTTTGTATATCATTTGTAAAACATGAAAATGGTCACATAGAAATCTTTATAAAATTTTAAGATAAAATAAAAATTATATGTCATTAAAAAGTTTTCAGTGAAAAATATGAAAAGAAGGTCAAATTATTTAAAGTTAAAATAGAAGAATTAATTTTATAAAAGAAATAAAATAAAGATTAAAATTTAAATCAAGTATAATTTAAAACTACCATTACTTTTTGAAACTGCAATGCAATGACATTAATATATCTAAATGAACGTCACATTTTAGGCTTTAAAGCAAAATAATTTTTATTTTCTTGTGTACTCCCTAACTAATATTATCTATATTTTAAAGTATTATATTTTATTTGGATTTTTCATGGTTAAAATATACCAATACTTAATTATAAATATCCTGCAACTGTTATTGAGTGTTTGGATGGACTTGAATTTATTTATTAACTCAAATTTTGTGATTGTATGAAAAACTTATGAAAATAGTTTTTAATACTTTTCATTATTTATTTTAATTTATTTTCATAAAATTTTTAAATGGTTTATGAAAACAAATTATAACATATATAAAAATAATTTAATCTTATATTATTTATTTGCTGTAAAAATTATATACGTAAACTTACAAGTAAATACTATTTATCTTGATAAATTCTATAAAATATAAATAAATTTTTTATCTTAAACTTATATTAAATCCAGACTATATATTTTTTTAAAAAAATTCTAATTAAATTTTTTTTCTATTCATATCTTAAAACGTAGAGATAAATAAAAAGGATGTTTTTAATAAAGTATTTTAGCATTGAAAAATCCTTGTCTATTTATTTAGCGGATTTCTTTTCCCGTCTTAATGACTGTTTCTTACCATAGTGAAAAATCAAAACTATATTTTGAATTCATAAGTATACTTTCTGACTCACCTCATTCACACACAATCTATGTATTATCGAGCAAGACCCTAATCCTATGACAAAATATAAATCGGAAATGCATCTATGTAAACGTTATAGAAGTGTATTATCGGAATCCACTGAACTAGAAAATAAAACAGAAACGAAACAGATGTAGAAACAGAGATAAACTAACTGTGATAATTATAATGACATACATATAAATGAAACATTACATAGATAATCATTAACGTAAAGCGAACAATACATTTCATCATCAAGGAGAGACTTATATGAAACTTAATCCATATGTTGTGATAATTATGATTTTGTGTGTGAATTTTTGATGTTGAATTGCATATGCCTTGGTGTGTATAAATTCGTTGAGATGTTGTTCATGTGGTTGGAGTTTTGGCATTATGATCATGGCTATTAATGAAATATTTTTGATTTAGATGCTGAAAGATTGTAAATTTCATATGTTTTCATGTACAATAATGTATTGTATGTTTTGGGACTATTAGAGGTCAAAATCATGGTTTGGGTCTCATACAAGGTTAGAAAACAAGAGCGATTACACAAAATTGCGAAATTATTTTTGGGATTTCTGAGCACTATTATGGGTCATAGCAGCTCCTACGGGCGATCATAACACCCCATTGGGTTTTTAAATAGAGGTGTGTCTAAGGGATGGGCTGGGGAGTGTTACGAGCAGCCATAGCAGCTCCCTAGAATTTGTACCAAGTGCGTCGTTTCGAGCGTAACTTGAGCTTCGTGACTCCGTTTAAAGCGCAATTCGAAGCGCGGTAGATGACGTGCAACACTACCTTATAATAATGCTTTAGATATTAAACATGTTTATGAAAATATGAATGATGATTTTTACTTGTGAAGTTCTTATGAGATGATTATTGAATACTTATATGATTACGAATTTAAGGTTTTGTTACAAGTTGACCAAGAGCGTGATAAATTGTTGTGATAGAATTTTATGATGACTTAAATGATATTTGAAATATGTGTATAATTGTTGTACCCCAAAATTTGCCCAACATTTTTCCTCACTTGGCTTGTGTTTCATTTCATTGCTCTAGCATATTTGCATTGCATAGCATGATTGTTTGCAGGGGATCAAGAAAGGTGTGCATCTCAAGAGGAGGTTGTCAAAGATTCCTATCTCAAGCAAGAGGGCTCACTGAGAATCATCTGAGGATTACAAGCTCATGGATATGGATATGAGATGATGGATAAGCTCATTTAGTACTTTTGAAGCCATTATGGAGCTCATCTAAGTTGTTATACCATGTGCAAGAAGCCACAGTCAAGGGTTGCATCCATAGGTTTTCATCTGCCAAGTGCAAAGTCAACTGAGGACTTGAAGGTGTTTGAGACTTAATTCCAAGTCATTGGAGTCATGGATAGTTTTGTTGAGGCATCTAAGATGTTTTTTCATGATCAAATCAAGAAGAATCAAGAGTGTGAGAAGTTACTAAATCAGGGTTTCAGAGGTTTGTTAGTGTAACATCCCCTGTTTGGTGCCTAACTTCAAGACCACATATCTCAAGATACAAGTGTAATCTCACTTTGACGCAAACATGAGACTTGTATAGCATGTTCTTAGCTTTCTTTTGAGTACTAGAACTCATCCATTAGGTTTCTAGAACTCAGGTTATGATGTTGACAAGTTAGAGGTCTCAGATGAACCATATTTTCAGTCAACAAAAGTCAACCAACTTCCAAGACACTTTTGACCTAGAATCATGTTTCTCCTCAACTTTTTATGAACATGAAAGTTGTTCCTCATGATCTTAGCTTTACAAAAAGTCCTAGAAGTCCTTCATCTCATTTGTAGAACTCAAGTTATGAAGCTTGCAAGGCAGAGGTATTTTGGGAAAGTGAGATTATAGGTCATTTTCATTATAGGTCCTTTTCATCCACTTATGCATTTCAAATGAAACTTTGATCAACATGAAAGTTGCTTCAAATGATCTCAATTCCATCATGGAACACAAGTTTGTCATGAATTTGGCAAGGATATGAGGATTGGTGAAGAAATTCAATGGAAAAATGAACTTAGAGTCATTTCAATTGAATTGGTTTTAATTCATTTACATGCCATATGTGTGCTCATTTTGATTCACATTTATCTAACCAGCAAGATGCACCAAGAAAATTTAAGGCATGAAGTGCAAAATACGTGCAATTCAAAGATTACTTCAAGAAGAAGTTTCAAATCAAATATCCACCATTGGATCAAATTAAGGCTCAATTTCCATCCACATGATCAATTCACCGTGCCAGCAGCTGATTCAAATCAAATTCAAGGGGAATTAGAGGGAAATTCACGTGTGCATGAAGCTTGCATTTCAACTTTGGGAATTTTGAAATTACACTCCAATAAGGCCATGTTGGGCCTCCAATGTATTCTAGGTCCATTGTATAAAAGCTCCAGATGAAGTTTGAGCCTTCATTCATGCAAATTCATGGAGGGAGAGCATAATTACAAGTGGAAAATTCAAGAGCAAAGTGAAAATCGTGAACTGAGATTGGAGCCATTTCAAGCAAAATTGAAGCATCCTTCTTCTTCCTCAAGTGAAGTGGAGTGATTCTGCACAATTATCAGCGAGCTTAAGCACCTGTGAAGCTCTAACAGAGAGACTTTGTTAGTTAATCTTCAAATCAAAATATCTTTCATGATATGCATTAGATCCATGCCATTTTTGTTGCAATCTGAAGACCTACACTTGTAGGCAAATTCTGGATAGTTTATTGATGTGTTTATGGAGATTTCAGTTTTGAGCTTAAATTTTCATCTGTGCGAATCTCTCTGTTTATGTATGTTAATGAATTTTGTGCTTGGATTCGTGATCTACATAACTTGGCAATCATTTTGGTATACGATTTTGTGCAATTTGGTTGAGTTTAGAACCTGCAACTCCGACTGTGTAGCCGGAGAAGATGACCAGAGAACTGTTGCTCTGTCGACTGGTTTTATGTTTAGGTGAGCTTGCGTGTCTTGCCACATGTGTTGTTGGATTTTTTGACTTTGTGAGATCAATGATTGAGGATCTAATCTGACCAGCGTGCGTGGCCAATTGACTTGCCACCTCATTTAATTATGTGTTGTGTTTTGGTGTTGCTGAAGTGTGTTTTAATTTGGGCCAAAAGCGCTACTTGCACCCCCTCTCACTGAAGCCCAATGGTATTGAACTGCAATTCTTACTATCTGCACTGTGTGCTTCATTGTTTTATTTTCTTTTTTATTTCAATTCTGTTTTGATTTAATTCATTTTAAAATACCTCCAATGATGATAAAATTCCACAAAAATATTTTTGAGACACTTTATTGTGTTAATTAATTTTTGGAATTTTTTATTTTTATTTTTTGTTTTAATTTTCAATTAAAAAGGAATTTATTATTTGGAGGTGTTTTTAATTGAATTTTTTCTTGTTCTTAATTGTTTCTTGCCTTGTTTCTTGTCCAATATTTTTCTCCAATGATTGAAACTTTTTTCTCATTTGATTGATGAGATTAAGAGTTTTATAGGATTTTGGCTATGGTTTAGTTCATTTTGGTTTGACCTTTATCTCATTTTATTTGACCCTCGACAACCATCCTTCAAAGTGGTGCATCCTTTTGAATCAAATTTTTGATGATGCTTTGAAGTGACTTTGGTTGAAATCTTTTGGACTCTAGTTTCCAACTCTTTGATGTTCATTTGAGATTTTATTTGGATTATTTTGAGCCTTTTTCCTATTTTTGAAGAAACTTGCAAGTCAAGTTACTTCTAAGGGTGGTTCATACATGCACTTGACCTAGTTTGATTTGGAAATGACACTGGTGGATCCCTTGAGCTCTCAACTCCTCTTGATTCATATT